GGGTTACGGGTTACGGGTTACGGGTTTCGGATTTTGGGGTTTAGGATTTAGGGTTTCGGTTTGTCAGTTACGGTTTACGGGTTACGGGTTTAGGGTTTAGTGCTACGGGTTTAGGGTTAAGGGTTACGGGTTACGGGTTACGGGTTACGGGTTTAGGATTTAGGGTTTAGGGTTTAGGGTTCAGGGCGTAGAGCGTAGGGTGTAGGGTGTAGGGTTTAGAGTTCAGCATTTAAAGATGAGGGTTTAGGGGTTAGGTGTTCAGGCTTCAGGATTCAGGGTTCGGTGTTGAGGGGTTACTGAGTTCAGGGGTTAGTGTTGAGAGTTTGGTTTTAGGATTTAGGGTTCAGGGTTTAGGGTTAGTGTGTAGTGTGTAGTTAGTAGGGTTGAGTGTTGGGGTATAGGTTGTAGGGTGTAGGGTTCAGGGTTTAGGGGTTAGGGTTCAGGGTTTAGGGTTCAGGGTTCAGGGTTCAGGGTTCAGGGTTCAGTGTTCAGGGGTCAGGATCCTAGTGTTTAGTGTTTTGATTTTGGTGTTCAGGATTTAGGGTCAGTCCAGGGAGGGTGGGGGCGGGCGCCGCCGCTCCCTCCTCAACCCATCTCTGCATACAGATGGGGCATTTCGTTAGGTACTTCAGGTTCTCCGAGCTCCCAGCATAGGCGGACACTGGAACTTGTTCTGCAGAACAGCCTGTAGGCTCATACGCCCTACGGTAGAGCCCTAGGACCTGCCTATAGGACCTCTGTGAGGTCAACTTTGACCCCATGGCCACTTAAGGGATGGAATGTTCTTCAGGACAGCCGCGCATCGCGTCGACTGGGTTGGGCTTTCTGTTTGTGAGGTTAGGTTTTTAGAGCTAAGGGTCTAGGGTCTAGGGTCTAGCGTTTAGGGTTTAGAGCTGAGAGTTTCGGGTGTAGGGTTTCGGGTTTCGGGTTTAGGGATTATTGGGGTTCATTAGGGTTCAGGGTTTAGGGTTCAGGGTTTAGGGGTGAGGAGCCAGGCGTGAGGGGTGAGGGGTAAGGGGTTCGGGTTTGGGTTTTAGGGTTTGGGATTTAGGGTTGAGGTCTTCGCCCCCTCCCCACTTGGCCTCCCTACCATTCTTTGCCCCCCCCCCCCTCGTTGATTTCGTTGATTTCGTGTTTATTAAACAGGATTGTCGGTGTCAGCCCGTGCCGTCCCCAAGCTAGGACCAGAAAAGGCCTTGCTTCCCAAATAGAGCAGAGGGCTCTGCCCGCTGTGGTTCAAGGGGCCGCTCCCGATGGATTGCGTTTCGGTCCTGTCAGGCAAAAATAGCGTGACTGGCCCTCAACGTTCTCCCCTAGTCTATCAGAATGTTCCTAATAGGCGCACACCCCCCAGGGGTGAACTCGGGTACTGGGATCAGCGCAATGCCAGGACCCAGTCTCCTCTACATGCTAGGCCGTCAGACGCACCGCCCCCGCCCCCCCTTGTTGCCGGGACCCAGTCACCTCTACATGCGGGGCCGTTAAGCGCGCCGTCCCCGCCCCTCCTCGTCAATCCCACAGTGCCAGCCCTCCCTTGATTTCGTTGATTTCGTGTTTATTAAACAGGATCCCTCTCCTCCCCCAGCATATATTATTCTGCATACTGCATAGAATACGCGTCTTCGTTGATTTGCGTCTTATTGACACTGATGAGTGCGCAGATCATATACGCATCTCCTTTCCGTTGTATACGAGTGGCATCACAGCAAATCTAATTTCGGACCAAGCATGGGAAAGTGGTCGTAACATTTCCCCTTGGACCAAGACAGAATCTGTTCCGCTATCTTAGGCTCCCCACGTGGAAGGTAAGGGAGTATATGCTGTTTTAGGCATCAAATGATGCTATCTTACGCCTTTTCATCAGGAGAGATTCCGGTATGGACCTACCCAGAGTCGTATATCACCAAATACAACGTATACGAAGAAAAAAGAGCGCCGAAAGTGCAAAAAGTTGAAAGGGTTGTTTTCCGATCGTTTCTTTCAATGATTCGATCGGAAAACAACCTTTTTATTAGCCAATTTTGGCTGTTTGGACAGTGATGTGCCCGTAACCTGAAACCCCATACGCAACCTTCATCATTTTTTGGGTTGCGTCCATCTACGAGCAACACCTTTTTGAATTGGCTCGGTCAAGGGGGCATATACACGGCCGTTTCGAATCAAAGGACTTTAAAATTGTACCGGTTACGAAGGAACAACGTTTTACGGAGCAAAAGCATGCCAGGGCGATGCGCGAAATCGCGCGGCTTCAATA